ACAAAGCTCACATCATCTCCAAATGGTTTCTGGAACATGACAATGAGGTCACTGGACTCCAATGGCCTCCACAGTCACCAGATCTCCATCCAATAGAGCACCATTGGGATGCGGTGGAACGGGAGATTCCCATCATTGATGTGCAGCCGACAAATCTGCAGCAACTGCGTGATGCTTTCATGTCAATATGGAGCAAAGTCTCTGAGGGATGTTTCCAACCCGGGACTAGCAAGGTGGACCTCAGAAAGTGTCCGGTGAGTGTATATCATGAATATACAACCCATGGTAAATGGACATTATCCAGCAATACACATATATAGCCATTATTGGTGGCATCTTCCTAAGAGGTCACCTACCTGCTGGTGCGATTAAATCATATGCAGTAGATAAATATCAAGTATAGCAATAAGAATCAGCCAGTGGTCTCCGGAGTGGTGGAGTCCGAGCTGAAGAGTTCATAAGGATCAGCAGCTGCCTTCAGAGGACTTAGTGCAGCTCCTCAGCAGATAGGAGGAATGTTTGTAGCAATACATAAGAGACACACGAGGGCGCTTCTAAGTGCAGCAGATGAGATCATTTATTAGGAAAAAATGCAAATTAGCCACTCCCACCAAGTAGAAGTAAAAGGGGCAAATCAAGCTTCTAAGTCATCATCCGTAGGAACCCGGCCCGTCTGCAGCAAGCGGTAGTGACACCACCAGTATTAGGAGATGCACAAGCTCCACAGCAGATGGTAGAGATCAGCTCAGGAGTCAGTCTGACCGCCTCGAAATGTGTAGCCACTCCCCTTCCATGTCACCGGCTTCCCATCAGCCAAGTTCCCACGTGGTCAGACTGGCTCCTGAGCTCAAAAATCCTCTGCGATGGAGCTCCTCCTACCCACATGGAAGAAAAATGTATTTTAAAAAATATTCTTCCCAAATATATTGACATATATTTAAAATACTGCAATTTTTTGGCCGCATTCAATATATTTCAATAAATATATATATATATAGACTGTATGTTGAAATGTGTTTTTATTACAAAATATATGAAAAATATTTTTAAAAATACATTTAATCTACATTTTTTGGAACGCATTTACAAATATATGTTAACATTACTTTTTTATATGTTAAAAAAAAATCTGAGGAATATATATATAAATAAAAAAATATATATATTTAAAAAAAAAAGTGTGTATGTGTGTGTATATATATATATATATGTATGTATCTCTATATATATATATATGTATCTCTATATATATATGTATCTCTATATATATATGTATCTCTATATATATATGTATCTCTATATATATATGTATCTCTATATATATATGTATCTCTATATATATATATGTATCTCTATATATATATGTATCTCTATATATATATGTGTCTCTATATATATATGTGTCTATATATATATATATATATATATGGCCCTTGTCATCATTAGCATGACAAGGTGCTGTGGGGGGGGGGGAGTGCCACTGCCACAAAGTACTCCCCATGTTGAGGGCATGTGGCCTGGTATGGTTCCGGAGGGAGGGGTGGGTGCTCGCTCGCCCCCCTCCCTTTCCTGACCTGCCAGGCTGCATGCTCAGATAAGATGTCTGGTATGGATTCTGGGGGGGACCCCAACGCCATTTAAAAAAAAATAAATAAAATTTGCATGGAGGTTCCCCTCAAAATCCATACCAGACCCAAAGGGCTTGGTATGGATGGTGGGGGGGACCCCAAGCCATTTTTTTTTTTTTGCAAAATTTTTAATTGCCGGCAATTTTTTTCCATTCAGCTGTCACCCGGGAACCCCACTGACAGCGGGAACATGAATGAATGAATGTCTCACTACTAACATACGGCGTGATGTCATCATAGAACTCCCGCCGGATTGTAGTTGCGTTTTTTTTAGTGAATGCCAACTTTTTTTGGAAAAATGCTGCATACTGGGATGCAGGAAGATACCGCTTAGTGAATTGTCCCCTGGGTTTGGGGTTTGGGGTTTGAGGTTTGCGGTCAAACTTTCGTTCGTTTTGAATGTTCGACCGTGAACCAAACGGGGGGGGGGTTGTTCGGCCCATCACTAGCGCTCAGAGCTCCACATCCTCGGAGTAAGAGAGGGGAGTACGAGGGCGTACACTTGGCTGAATGTGAGCTGTTGGATGCGGGAACCATCAACGTCATTTGGAGTAAAAAATGTTTTTCTCAAACTTTGGATGACAAAGTTGAAGAATTCCAGAAGAAGACAAGAATGAACGTCGCCCGAGTCTATTTATTTACTGAAAAAATCTGATATTAATGATGCTTTAGAATCCTCCGGAATGCCGCCTATCCAACAATCTTCAGATTAATGGCTCTGCGATGTTAATTTACTGCTTACTTCACCATTACCTGTCAGCACAGCTCCGGGAGGACAGATTTCAGAGTAACAATGTGTTAATGAGGCGGCTTTACACCACAAATCCCTCTCCGGCCTGTCAGCCCTGAACTATGAAACTGTAATTAGGATCCAGTGTCAGGAGCTTGTTACAGACTATAGAATGTGCTAGGTGGGGGAACCGACGGGTCCTACTGGAAGGTGAGGAGCTCCATACCCATCATGAGAGAAGGACTCTGGAACAAGGACTCCGGAACAAGGACTCCGGAACAAGGACTCCGGAACAAGGACTCCGGAACAAGGACTCCGCAACAACGACTCCGGAACAAGGACTCCGCAACAACGACTCCGGAACAACGACTCCGGAACAACGACTCCGGAACAACGACTCCGGAACAACGACTCCGGAACAAGGACTCCGCAACAACGACTCCGCAACAACGACTCCGCAACAACGACTCCGGAACAACGACTCCGGAACAACGACTCTGGAACAACGACTCTGGAACAAGGACTCCGGAACAAGGACTCCGGAACAAGGACTCCGGAACAAGGACTCCGGAACAAGGACTCCGGAAACAAGGACTCCGGAACAAGGACTCCGGAACAAGGACTCCGGAACAAGGACTCCGGAACAACGACTCCGGAACAACGACTCTGGAACAACGACACCGGAACAACGACTCCGGAACAAGGACTCCGGAACAACGACTCTGGAACAAGGACTCTGGAACAACGACACCGGAACAAGGACTCTGGAACAACGACTCCGGAACAAGGACTCCGGAACAACGACTCCGAACAAGGACTCCGGAACAACAACACCGGAACAACGACTCCGGAACAACGACTCCGGAACAAGGACTCCAGAACAACAACACCGAAACAACGACTCCGCAACAACGACTCCGGAACAACGACTCCGGAACAACGACTCCGGAACAACGACTCCGGAACAACGACTCCGGAAAAACTTCGGAAAAACGACATAACACATGGAGGACGACTAATTGACCAGAAAACAATGCGCTAATCTGACTGATCAAAACAAGAAATTGTATCAGAATATTAACAGATAATATAAATAACAGGGATGCCATTTGCAAGGGAATGTGCGACGTGGGGGTGTGTATTGTATGACGTGTCAGCGTGTATTGTATGACGTGTCAGCGTGTATTGTGCATCGTGGCGGCGTGTATTGTACGATATGTCGGCGTGTATTGTGCGACGTGGTGGTGTGTATTGTATGACGTGTCAGCGTGTATTGTGCATCGTGGCGGCGTGTATTGTACGACGTGGCAGCGTGTATTGTATGATATGTCGGCGTGTATTGTGCATCGTGTCGGCGTGTATTGTGCGACGTGTCGGTGTGTGTATTGTACTATGTGTCGGCGTGTATTGTGCGACGTGTCAGCGTGTATTTTACGATGTGGCGGCGTGTATTGTGCGACGTGGTGGCGTGTATTGTGCAATGTGTCGGCGTGTATTGTGCGACGTGTCAGCATGTATTGTGCGATGTGGTGGCGTGTATTTTACGATGTGGCGGCGTGTATTGTGCAATGTGTCAGCGTGTCTTGTACGACTTGGCGGCATGTATTTTGCGACGTGTCGGCGTGTATTGTGCGACATAGCGGCGTGTATTGTACGACTTGGCGGCGTGTATTGTGCGACGTGTTGGCGTGTATTGTGCGACGTGGTGGCGTGTATTGTGCGATGTGTCGGCGTGTATTGTGTGACGTGGCGGCATGGATTGTGCGACGTGTCGCCGTGTATTGTGCAATGTGTCGGCGTGTATTGTGCGACGTGTCGGCGTGTATTGTGCGACGTGTCGCCGTGTATTGTACTTATTGTGATCAGAATGAAAGATTCAATAGGTTATTTTTTACCTTCATTTTGATTCTTTTCCCCTCTTTATTTTGTCAGGTAAAAACGAAGCGCCGGATATTATTTTACCCCTCCCCTGACTTCATCGTCAAGATCAATGGCACGACCATCAATCCCTCCCCCTATTCCAGGGCGCTAGAAGTAATTTTGGACTCTGATTGTATCTTTGGGCCCCACATCCAATCATTGTCCAAAGCTTGCCGCCTCAACCTCCTCAACATCTCCAAGACACGCCTTTTCCTGACCAATGACACCACAAAGATCTAATTCACTCCCCGATCATCTCCCGCCTCGGCTACTGCAACTCCCTCCTCATTGGCTTTACACAGGCTTTCCCCCATTTCAGTCCATCATGAATGCTGCTGCCAGACTCATCCACCTTACTAACCACTCAGTGTCCTCCACCCCTCTCTGCCAATCCCTCCACTGGCCTCCACTCAGTGTCCTCCACCCCTCTCTGCCAATCCCTCCATTGACCTCCATTCAGTGTCCTCCACCCCTCTCTGCAATCCCTCCACTGGCCTCCACTCAGTGTCCTCCTCCCCCTCTGCCAATCCCTCCACTGACCTCCACTCAGTGTCCTCCACCCCCCTCTGCCAATCCCTCCACTGACCTCCACTCAGTGTCCTCCACCCCCTCTGCCAATCCCTCCACTGACCTCCACTCAGTGTCCTCCACCCCCCTCTGCCAATCCCTCCACTGGCCTCCACTCAGTGTCTTCCACCCCCCTCTGCCAATCCCTCCACTGACCTCCACTCAGTGTCCTCCACCCTTCTCTGCCAATCCCTCCACTGGCTTCCACTCAGTGTCCTCCACCCCTCTCTGCCAATCCCTCCACTGACCTCCACTCAGTGTCCTCCACCACCCCTCTCTGCCAATCCCTCCACTGATCTCCACTCAGTGTCCTCCACCCCTCTCTGCCAATCCCTCCACTGGCTTCCACTCAGTGTCCTCCATCCCTCTCTGCCAATACCTCCACTGGCCTCCACTCAGTGTCCTCCTCCCCCTCCACTGACCTTCATCAGTGTCCTCCTCCCCCCTCTCTGCCAATCCCTCCACTGACGTTCCACTCAGTGTCCTCCACCCCTCTCTGCCAATCCCTCCACTGATCTCCACTCAGTGTCCTCCACCCCTCTCTGCCAATCCCTCCACTGGCCTCCACTCAGTGTCCTCCTCCTCCCTCTCTGCCAATCCCTCCACTGACCTCCATCAGTGTCCTCCACCCCCCCTCTGCCAATCCCTCCACTGACGTTCTCCACTCAGTGTCCTCCTCCCCTCTCTGCCAATCCCTCCACTGACCTTCATTCAGTGTCCTCCACCCCTCTCTGCCAATCCCTCCACTGACCTTCATTCAGTGTCCTCCACCCTCTCTGCCAATCCCTCCACTGGCCTCCACTCAGTGTCCTCCTCCCCTCTCTGCCAATCCCTCCACTGACCTTCATTCAGTGTCCTCCACCCCTCTCTGCCAATCCCTCCACTGGCCTCCACTCAGTGTCCTCCATCCCTCTCTGCCATCCCTCCACTGTGCCTCCACCAGTGTCCTCCCATCCCTCTCTTGCCAATCCTTCCATTGACTTCAGCTCACCAAACAAATAAAATCCAAAATGCTAACAACAATATTTCAAAGCCATCCACAACATTACCGCCAATACATCCCCAACCTTATCTCACCATATCGCCCAAACCAGCCTCTCCGCTTCTCCCAAGACCTCTTTCTCTCATGGTCCCTCATCAGCTCCTCCCTGCAGGACTTCTCTAGAGCCTCTCTTATCCTCTGGAACTCCCTACCCCAACCTGTCTGTCTCCTTCTCTCTCCTCATTTTTTAGATGATCCCTGAAAAACATTTTCTTCAGGGAAACCTATCCTTCCTCCACCTAACAACTGCATTTTTATTTTCTCCCTCAGCTCATCCCCCACAATTATTGTCTTTTGTCTCCCTTTTTAGATTGTAAGCTCTTAGGATCAGGGCCCTCGGAACCCTCCCGTATTGTGAATCGTATTGTGACTGTACTGTCTTCCCCTCGTGTTGTAAAGCGCTGCTGTTGGTGCCATATAATAAATCCGTATAATAATAGTCTTCTGCCAGAAAGGAGCGGCTCCACCATCAGAGGTCGTATTTCCACGCAGTCACAGTGAAGCTGAACACATTCTGAGAAGTCAGGGCACAGCAGCCGCTGTTCCAGTTGCTCCTGGCAGTGAATATCAGTCCTGACATGCTCCCCTCAACCTCATCAAATATTTATCTGGCTGATTTCTTTCTTTCCGAGAGACATAAAACATTTTATAAGGAATTGTGAAGAGTCACACAGAGCTGATGATGAAGTCACACAGAGGAAAAGTCGTATCATCGTCATTATGTTGGAAGTGCCCCCCCCCCTCCCCTGTTTGGGGTCTTGTTGGAGATCGCCGTCGCAGCATTCGCCCGATTCATCCGTCACAAAGACACAAAGAAGAGAACTTTCTATTCTCTCAGTAACTTTTCCGCCACTCTGCAGATTCTGCTCCATTGTACTCGTCACCCGCGGTTTCCGGTGTCGGCCCGCCTCGCTGTGCTGAATAAAATCATGAATGTGCCCAGCGGCTGATCTGCGCGTTCTTTAGGTTTTATTATTCTTTATTCATAAAATAGCATTTGTGTTGTAGTGACTTACAGGAGGCAAGGAACGCGAGAGGAGAACGCATGGAGGCCTGATGGGAGGCGAGGAAGGTGACGCATCACATATATTGGGGGTCATGGAGCCGAATCCATTCTAAAATGAACGCCCGATTCCGGGCAGATAGAGAAGACACAGATTAATGCAAATCTCAATTCTTAATACCATCTGTAGATATTCCACAAATTTGGAAACTGCTTCTCCTGTATACAGTTGTGTTGAAAATACTAGCCGTCAGACATCACTAACCGGATCAATCACTGTTTTGGGTGGAAATGATATCTCTACATGGGCCAATAATTTTCCTAGCAGGTGTAGTAAGTCATAGAAATCCAAACAGACCCCGACAGTCATGGACATGCATGCTGCGATTCTGTGTCATTGAAATCACTCATTGAAAGGGGCGTGTTCACAATAATAGCAGTGTGGAGTTTATTAGTGACGTCATTCATTCTTTGATAGAACAGGTGGCAATTTATTGCCCTTATTTAAGGAAGGAAGGCAGCAAAATGTTGGACATGATCGCGTGAGTTACAGTGTGCACTTTCTCTCTGAAATTCTGAGGAAAATGGGTCGTTCCAGACATTGTTCAGAAGAACAGCGTACCTTGATTAAAAGTTGATTGACGAGGGAAAACAATAAAGAAGTGCAGAAAATGATCGGCCTTGCTCAGCTAAAATGATGCCAAATGCTTTAAAATGGGCAACCAAAACCTGAAAGACGTGGAAGAAAGCGAAAAAAACTACCATTGGGATGGATAGAAGAAATAGCCAAAATGGGGGCGGACTCAGGCCAACAATCAGCTCCAGGAAGATGAAAAGGTGTGACGTTCCCTGTGAGGACTCAGCCAACAATCACCTCCAGGAAGATGAATGAAGGTGTCTGAGTTTCCTGTTGAGGACTGTTACAATTAGAAGACGCCGATGTGAAGCCAAAGTCCCACTGTTGGGGAAAAAGTCGTGTGCTGAAGAGGTTACAATCTAGCCAAAGAGCACATTGACCGGCCTAAAGAGAAATGGGGCAACATTTTGTGGACTGATGGAAGTAATAATTGTTCCTTTTTTGGGTCTAGTGGGCGGAGACAGTTTTGTCAGACGACCCCCAAACCATTGAATTCTAAGCCACAGTACACTGTGAAGGACCGTGAAGCATTGGTGGTGCAAGCATCATGATATGGGGATGTTTATCATCTACGGTGTTGGGCCTATATATATCGATTACCAGGGATCCCCAAAATGGGGAATCAGTTTTGAATTCCAATCAGAATACGTGAAGAGGTCATGCTGCCCTTATGCTGAAGAGGAAAAATCCCTTGAAAATGGGTTTGTTTCCAACAAGACACCGACCCCAAACACACCAGGTAAAACGTGCAAACATCTTGGTTCCAGACCATCAAGAAGGACGTTATGGAGTGCCATCCCAAACCCCGATCTTTCATCCCATAGAAAACCTTGTGGGGTGCATCAAAAATGCGTTTCTGAGAGCCAAACCAAAAATAGAAGAAGAACTTGGAATGGTGTCCAATCATACCTGGCTGGAATAATCCTGAATCACAAGGGCCAGAAGTTGGGGGACTCCATGCAACACAGATGTACAGCAGATTCCTCAGAAACAGTGCGACTCAACAACCAAATATTCATGAAGTCATTCAAAGGAAAGCAAATCTTCAAACATTTCTCATTTATATAGTGAATGTTGGAGTTTTTTAAAGAAGAAAACAAAACGGCCATTTTTTGAAACCCTCTAATATTCACTTTTCTTTTTCCCCTTTGATGTATTTTTTTTTCGTGGGTTTTGATTTGGAAAAAGAAAAGTGTTTGTGTTCCCAATGATTTG